TTCTGCTGTGTAAACTTTCAGTGGAGTTTTTAATCTCCTGGAAATCTGTTTGCATCTGTTTTATGGATTCCATTTTTTTCCTATGTTGGGATTCCATCATGTTCCTCAGCTCCTCTATTTTTTTATCTGTATCCTCTCTAGATTTATGAATCATGTCTTGCACTATAGGCACAATCTCTGCTGTTATCTGAGAAATTATTTCTGATTTCATTTTTTCCAGATACTCTTTTGTTACCAGTTCAGGGAGTCCAGGTGGTTGAGTAACAGATTGTTCCATCTTGCTTCCCTTTGGGGTTGCTTTAGGTGATGTAGAAGCCTGGTTTTGAGACTTGTTTGTGTGTCTTCTCATTTCCACAGTTGGGGAGTGCTGCTGGTGACCATACGGCTCACCTCCTTGGCACTGGGTGGGCTCTGCAGGTGGTGATATGGCAGGCCGAAAGGCTCACCTCCTCAGTGCTGGGCTGGGCTCTGCTCCTCTCAGGTCACTCTTTATATAACATTAAAAAAACAAAGCCAATATCATGTTGTATGAGCTCTACAATCTGAACTGGTTCATATTAACCTTATGTTGATGTCTCAGTCTGAAATGGAGGCACTAGAGTTGCATCAATTAAATTTATCAGCAGCTCTTTGTTGATTGTGCCCCATTAACATATTAGACATGCCCTGAAATGATATCTGTTTCTTATGGCCTACTGTGCTGTACCCTATCACAGAGATGTAAGGAGCCCTTATAAACATTTTGGCTTCCAAATTCCATGCAATAGTAGATGAGGTTTTGGTTGTCACTTTATATTGAATCTCTAAAGGGAAAAGGTTAATTCCTGATAAGACTTTTCTGTTCTTTATGTGTCTCAAGTTGCAATGCAAGTTCTGTGCCAGAGCCCAGAGCCAAGGCCTACGGAACAGCCCTGTCCCAAAACCATGAATAATGCTATCTTTTAAAATCTATTAAATTTCTTTTGTAGGAAAAGATTCCTCCAGAAGTCCACAAGTATAAACAAAATGTTATTTGTCTGATTAGATGCCTCTAGTTTCTTAAATGTTTAACGTGAAGCTTTTCAGTATTTAAAATCATAAAATCAAATATTTTAGAAAAGCCGGAAGCCTGATGAAGAGTATTAATTATGTAGATATTTCCCTGGAAAACACCCAAGGAAAGCACTGATTTCCTTTTATACATAGCAATCTCAATTGGCCTGAAGAATCATTTCCATAATGTAAGTGAGTACTTTTCCAAGGTGGGCCTCTGAGTTAATTTTGTGCTCCTATGACAGAATTTCTGAGCCTGAGTAACTTATAAAAAGCAGAGATTTATTCCTGATAGTTCTAGAGGTTGGGAAGTCCAAGGACAAGGGACTTGAATCTGGCCAGAATCTTTGTGCTAGGCAGAAGGTGCAAGAGTATGAGAGAGAGAGAGACAGAGAGAGAGAGAGGGAGAGAGAGAGAGAGAGCAAGTGCTGAACTCAGTTTTTAGCAAAACCACTCTTGCAGTGCCAAACCCACCCCTGTGACAGTGATATTAATCCACTGAGGTCTCATGACCTAATACTTTCTTAAAGGTCTCACCTCTTAACACTGCTGCTTTGGGGATTAAGTTTCCAACACATGAATTTTAGGATTGAGGGAGAGGAGGACACATTCACACTATAGCAGGAGGTTTGGGGTCAGACTTTCTTGTATTCTTTTTTTCTCCAGCAAATTATTTGTATCTTCTCACACTTCTGACCAAATTTGCTTTACTATGAGACTCCAAAGATGTTCAAAAGGCTCAAGTGTTGCGAGATTGGTCAGGCTTTCACTGGTATGAGAATTACAAGTATCATTTTTCATAGTTGATCATGAATTCTGTGAAGAGAATGTGACATCATACTGTTTTTTGTATGGTTTTGCTTTGTTCCATTTCTGCAGGGGAGTTGGTATGGGACTGGTGACAGACACCTTGGAAATGTCAATAGATTTTTGACATTAGAGTGGTTCTCCTGGAGATAGTATCCACGGGGCCAGTGAGGAATTCCACAGAGTCACTTTGGGAAAAGTCTTAAAGTCCTGAGGAAGTCTTAAGGTTCTGCAGGGCCCAGGATGCAGACAGGCCTTGGTCCTCCATTCACAGTTTCCTTTCATAGCTGGAGTTCTGTCTGCAGACTTCTGAGGGCCAGTACGCCAACATTCATGTCACTGTCTCAGCAAATGGGCTCTAGGCCTGTGTTACTCGAGGCCCCAGTTCTTGGTGGCATCCCCCTGCCATCCCTTCAGAAGCCTGCATGCAGTGGGGTCCTCAGAACTCCCAGGACCACAGCCCATTACCTCCCTAACCTGAGCAGAGGTTTGCAGCCCTTCTTTTCCAGGCCGAGTTCTTTGTGGTCTTGAGTAGCTGGAAGAGCAGCTTCTGAGGAGGAGAGGAACTAGGAACACTTTCTACTCTAGATGCCTTCGTTCTGTGACGTGGCTTCTCCATACCCGTCATGTCATTTAATGGAGTGACAAGAGACTGACCATGGTCATGGCAGACTCCACCTTTCACTTAGCTCCAGGCATCAAGCTAACTCTCACTTCTACCTTACCCCTACCCCGTGAAGTCAAGGAGCTGTGACCATGAGCCGAGGCCTGATGCCTAAATCTGCCCACTCCTGGCCAAATGTCAGATGCCAGCTCCCAGACTGGCCTGGCATAGACTTTAGTCTGTCCAAAGGTACCTCTCCCTGGTTCACCACAATCTCTGATGTCAGCTTGTTAGACTGCCCACGGTGAAGAGATTCTCATAGAACTGAGACTTGGGAGGTGGCATATGCCTAGAATCCCAGGAGGCTGAGGCAAGAGGATCACTTGAGCCCAGGAAGTCTGGGGCTACCTGGCCAAAATTGTGAGATCCCATCTCTTAAAAACAAACAGAAAACCAATCATAACCACCACCACCACAACAAAAACTTGGGCCTTATTTCTCAGTTGGTAGCTCAATTGCTTTCTGGAAAAGCATGAGATTAGTAGAATCTAACTACTGAAATTCTTTTAATCCTTTTCAGAATCTGGCTTGCAAGTTCATTTCCAGAGCTCATTAACCTCTTTGGGACAGACTACCTCCAAAATATTGAAAAATGGTTCCTTGCCTTTCCAAGTGAATTCATAGTCCTCAGCATTTTGCACTGGGGGAAAAGCCTGAATTGTTGGATACAGGCAGGAAAGGCTGGGCCTGATGAAGAAGGTTACAAGTTGGTGCCTTCTTCTATTATTAACTCCAGATATGGGAAGGAGGCATAGATTGACTGCTGTGTTTATAGTGCAGAGGGCACATGTGTATTTCTACAAGCTCTGTACATCCTAGATTGATTTGCAAACAGGACTGTTTCAATTCTCCTTCTGGGTGCAGAGGGCGTGAGCCACCATGGTTTAGGAGGGAGGGTTAACATCCTCTGCAAATATAAATTCTTAGCACAGATGAGTTTTTAATGCAAATCAGTTTCACTCCTCCAAGTAACTTTTTGACTTCTTGGAAGACACAGACCACTTATTGTTAATCTAACCTTGTATTGTCTTTTCTCTTCCCTTCCTTCCCCTCCTACCCCTCTCTAACCTGTTGACAGCTGTCCGTACCTAGCGGTGAAAATCACCCCTGCCATCCCTGTGGTTGGTGGAATCCTGTTCTTCTTTGTGATGGGGACCCTGCTTCGCACCAGCTTCAGTGACCCCGGAGTCCTCCCACGAGCCACACCTGATGAGGCCGCCGACCTGGAAAGGCAAATAGGTAACACTGAAGGTCTGCCCTTTGCCTTTGCTCACTTCTCACCTGCGCCTGGCCCCAGTGTGAGGACAGGCCAAGGTGCATGCAGGAGGGCAGGGTGCTGACTGACGTGAAGAGTGACCAGGAAGGAAGGAGGCCCTAAGCAGATGACCTGAGTAGGAGGTGGGATAGAAGTGGTGGAGGTAAGGCTGGAGGCTCTGCCCGGTGGTGTGGGGGCTCCGGTGCCATGCCCAGAGGTTTTCTGAAGCCCAGATTTCCAGTTCTGTTCTCATGGAGCCTCGTGGTGACAAATCTGCATTTTTAGGTTGTTGTTCTTTCACCCCTTCTGCAGTCATTGTAGCTAAACTCATTTCCATTGTATAAAAAAAAAAAATCTAGGCAAGGTTACATCTTAGACTGCTATCTCATTTCTGCAGTCTAGAATCCAGAACTCCCTTTATAATAACAATATATACTTGTGATGTATATTGAGCTGAATAGCTTTATTTTTCCTTTTTAGAAACTAAAGCCCTTGGCTAATCCATTTTGAAGATAATGAACTGGATTCTAATCCCTCATATAAAAAACCTTAACGTTTTTTTTTAATCAAAAAGAGCATTTTTCCTTGCTTTTAAATGCTCTTAAAAGTTTGCACTTGTGACTATGCAGCTTTGCTGTGGTGTGCTGGTCGGTCTGACAGGGATGCCAGAGGGGTAGGGAGACTCAATATGAACATCAAATTTAAGCCTGGAAAATCACTTGACAGAAATGTTTCTGCCCCAGTCTTGCTCTGGGCTTAGACTGCCCTTTGTGGCCTCCACAAAAGCTAAAGAGGCCCCCTTTATTCACAGAATAAGCAGGTACCAGTGTGGCTTCTGCTGGAAAGGGTCTATTCTGGTGTTACTGTTCCCCCAGTGCCAAAGTAGGGTGTCTTCTGAGCATCTGCCCTCATCCATTGTCCTTGTTAACCGGAAGAGGAGCAGTAAAGGAGCCAACAGTGGGAGCAGTGGTATTGATATTGTTACACTCATTTCGCAAATAAAGAAACTAAGCCCTAAACTGGGGCTTAAATGGGAGGAAGTGGCAGAACTGGAACCTAGGACCTAGATTTCCAAGTCCCTGCCCTTGTTCTTTCTAGCTGCTCACATCATTGGAGAGAAAGAGGAAGATCAGGCCAGCTTCCTCCGAGAAATAGAATGGGATGTATAGTCTGTGTCCACATTACATCAGCTGTTAGCTTGAAAATCCTCTGCTTAGCCCAAGAGCCCAGCCCCCACACTTCAGATGAAGCAACTTCCTGCTATGATCCCCCTCCTGGTTAGTACAAGGGGCATCTGCTACATCAGCAAGATCGGGGACAGATTTTCTGCCTTCCTTACAAAGTGGGTGATGAAAAGTACTGCTGGAATTCCCTATTATAAATGCAAATTCTAAGAGGCACAGTTTCCTTTTGTCTTGATTGACACTGAGGAAGTGAAGAGAGAATTTACTTCTTGCATTTCTGTAGCTGTGGTTAAAGTTGATCATCTCAAAGCAATATTTTTCAACTTATTTTTTAAACCAGTTGTGTCCATGGCTCCAAAAGTCATCAATTTTGTGAGAGAACTAGACTGGGGAATGGATGAAACAAAATGTGGTTTTCTGTGAAGGAAAGAAGACGGGCTTAAAAGATAGGATTCTGGCATGGCAGAAATGAGAAGAATGACAAGTTTCCTCCACAGATTGTTAGAAGCAACCATTTAATATTTCTGATATTCAGCCAATTTGAGGAGCTGTCATTCATGAATAACTGCTGAATGCTGGGCAACACTAGAGGTACCTGTAGCATTCTTGCGTGGGCAGCTTCCAGCTCCAGCCTGATATCTGAAGATGAGAAAATTCTATAGCCATGAACACTAGCTATTTCCCTTTCTGAAGGGGGCTGATTAGATTTGAAATGGAGCATAGAGAAGAATCAATAACTAAGCTTCCATCTCAAGAAACTGTAAAAAGAAGAGCAAAAAATCCTCAAAGCAAGCAATAGTAAGGAAACAATAAAGTTCAGACAGGAGATCAGTGAAATATAATGCAAAAACACAATAGAAAAAATCAAGGAGACTTGAAGTTAGTTTTTTGAAAAGATCGATAAAATTGACAAACTTTTAGCTATGCTGGAGAGAGACAGGGAGAAACAGCAATAGAGAGAGAAATTATAAAAATCAGGAACAGGTATTTTTTCCAAAAAGGATATCTGAATGGCCAATAAGCACATGAAAAAATGTTCAACATCTTCAATCATTAGGATAGTACAGTTGAAACTGCTATGAGATACTGCTTCATACCTACTAGAATAGCTCCCATCAAAAAGACTGATAATAACAAATGTTGACAAGGATGTGGAGAAACTGGAACTCTTGTACATTACCAGTAGGGATATAAAATTGTGCATTCACTTTAGAAAACAGTCTTGAAAACAGCCTCAAAATTCTTCAGAAAGATGCTGGGGATTTAGCTCAGTGGTGCCACCACCTGCCTTGCAAGCATGAGGTCCTGAGTTTGATCCCTGGTAACAACACCAAAAAAAATTCTTCAGAAAGTTAAATATAGTTACCACATGACCCAGCAATTTCACTTGTAGATATATATCCAAGAAAAATGAAAATAATATGTTTTCACAAAGACTTGTATATGAATATTCATAACTGCACTAATCCTAGTAGCCCCAAACTAGACACAACCCAAATATCCATCAAAGGGTGAATTAAAAGATGAATATATGATATATCTACACAATGGAACACTACTAAGCAATAAAAGGAACATACTTTCATTGATACATACTCCAGTACAATAGACCTTAAAAACGTCATGCTGAGCCCAAGAAACCAGATGCCAAAGGCTTTAAATTATGTGATTCTGTTTATAAAAATGGTCCACAAAAGACAAATCTCTAGCAACAGAAAGCAAAGTAGTGATGGCCTGGGACAGAAATGCAAGTTGACTTCCCCTGACATGAGGGAGCCCAGGGTGAGGAAATGGTCCAAAGGTAGATCAAGCAGGCCATAGTGGCTCATGCCTGTGAGCCCAGCATTTGGGAAGCTGAAGCAGCAGGATCGCTGTGAGTTTGAGGACACCCTCAGCTACATAATGAATTCAAGGTCAGCCTGAACTACATAGTGAGACCTTGTCTCAAAAAACTAAAAAAAAACAAACAAAAATTAAAAAGAAAGTTAGATCAAGGTGATAGCTGCACAATGAAATAAATTTACTAAAAATCACTGAGTTGTATACTTAGAATAGGTCACTTTTACAGTATATAAATTATATCTCAGTAAAGCTGTAAAAAAGGGGAAGGGGGAGAAAGCAGAGGGAGCAAAAGCAGAAGAAAGAAGAGGGCTTTGGAGTCGTTCAGATGTGGGTTTGAGCCATTCTCTAGTTGTGTGACATTAGGCGAGGACTGACTTTTCAAACCCTCATCCCATCGTGTTCTATCTGTAAAATGGAAAAAATGACATGTGTCATGTGAGGTTCAGATCAGGATGGGAGATTACAGGGAAAGTTCCTGGCTTATTGCAGGTGCTCAGTGAACAGTGGGTTTTGTTTCCTAAGTTCTCCTTTTTTATCCAGTTCTCTTTCCACTTTCTGCAAACATGGGGTCTCATAAAGAGCTGCCTGAAGAGGGACAGGACTAAATGGCAGAGCTGGAGCGATGTCTTTGGGACACTTCCTGCCTGTCCAATGTACCTTGAAGTCAAAGAGGAAGGCACAGGCCTGTGATCATCTCCTTGGCTGCTATAATTCTTCACGAGGAGTCCTTTCATACACTGCTTGGCTTTGGAAAATAAGATTGTGTTACAATGAAATCTTAACACATTTATTTTATGCTATCTGGCTAAAGAAGGAAAATGAAAAAACAGGCTTGGAAACTTTCCATTATTAGGGCTATTAATTCTAATTATCAGTCATATATCTCTGATAAAAGCCCATAATAGCCACTTGGAATCAGTCATCTAAGTAGTTTATTGAAGATTTGCCAAGGAATTAAATTTTCAACCTTCTGTAGAGAGTGAGCAATGAGGAGGAGAGCTCTGGATTTCAGGGTATGTTCCAAAGCTCTTGAAACGCCTTACACTCCTTTCTTTTGAAAGAATATTCCCAAGTAACTTAGGTTACATTGAAAAAGGCATCAAAGAAAAGCAGCAGAGACCCAGGGAAAGCCCTGCTGAATGTCACTGAAGACTTCTTCAGAAACTTCACAGCTTCCAAAACTCACCCAAGGATGATCAGACACTAAAACTGATCTGGGTTTAGAAAAACAATGATGAGATGCTGCACTAGTACTCTTGGGAGCAAACCATTTAGTCTTAGTTAGGAATAGACCTTCCTAGTGACTGACATAGAGGAAAGCAGCAGGCTGATGTTATCTCCCGCCCACCCAGTGATCCTGAAGATAACCAAGACCGGGAAGTTGCTATACAGACAGCAGGTCACAGCTGCTATGGGGAGATGGCCCACTGGGCTCTCAAAGCAAGGTTGGTGGTTTAGGAAACTCCCAAGTCACAGTAATCCAGACACCAAGCAAGAGGCCCAACAGTCCTAAGCGAAGGTGGAGTCGTATCTAAAGAAGCAGGTGGGCTTTAAAAAGAAATCACCTGTATGGCAGAATCTGAAAGAATTATCACCTCCACTCTGCTCCTTTGAGTGCCTGGATTGAACACCACTGTCCCTAGACATAGTGCATGTGTGCATTCATGATCTTCTCTGTCTCCTTGTCTCCTCCTCTGCTCTTTCCTCCCCCTTACCCATTCCTCTCCAATATTTGGTCAAATGGTCATCATTGAGCAAGTTTTCTTGTAGTACATGCTAGGTAAGATCGAAAATGCAGTGAACATTCAATTTTTAAAAAGATGTTAGAGTAAAAGACACATTGCAATTAACATCTCTCAAAATGCTCTCCCTCACTTTGAACACACTTATCCCACCATTCTTGCCACTTTCTAAAACAGTTCTGGAAGTCTTCTTTTGTGATTGTCTTTAGTTGTGCTGTTGTGGCTGCC